GCCCTAAAAAGTATCCCCAAATTTGCTCTTCTATGCTGTAAACTAAAATAGGTACTTTATTCTAGAATGTAATGAGTGAGAATAGCAGAGTAGAACACATGCTGAATGTTAGTGTAAATGATATTTATAAACTATCATCTACTGCCTTGTACATTCTCTCTGTTAGATGATGTAACCATTTCTTGCTCTGCATTTCTTATGTGCCACCTTTAATATTACTTGGTTATTAATTAAGTGTCACACACTTGTTTCTGGTTAGGAGTCACGAAAGTATGGTCTAGGGTTCATTCGTGAAACCGTGGCTTGCAGTGACTACTGCAATTAGACAAATGTAAGAGAACATACGAAAAGACCTGTCAGAATGAGCACATCTGGCTCAGTTTTCTACTTGCTTAATTAAAAGCCACCCACACTTGACTTTAATGACAAACAGGAATGCAGGTTTGTCATCTGTGGGGAAAAGTTTTGCAAATATCACAACTATTCATTTCAACAGTGAAACAAATTTGCATTTGCATTCATGCCTTGAGTCCTGGGTCAGTGAATGAGTCTTGAACCATTGGTACTGTACATTCTTGGCAGCAGTGGTTTTTATCAATGTCTCCATTTTCTTGGGCCTTTCTCCCCACTTGTAGAAAGTGGTTGAGATTGCCAGCCGCCTGCTAGACCCTGTGAACAAAGCCCACTGGGCCATCATACAGAGGAGTTCAAAAGGTGTACCAGAGGTCATATCAGCCCTGGAGGCCTTTGGTGCTAACATAGCCAAGACAGCCATAACGGCCATCACATCTGATTACACACACACTCCAGAGTTCTTCATTGTTGCTCCCAACATTGGTAAGGCACGATTCCTTGGTAGCATGGAACTCCATGTACAGACAACTCTCATGCCTAGAATTAGTTTCAAGATGGAATAGTGCTTGTCAGTTGATGTCAGCAATTGTTACAGAATGGTGAATGAAATGTACTGTGCATAGCAACCAACAAGCTTTGGGTGTGTAATACAATGTGACTAGAGCACTTTGATTGGCAAATTTAGGTGTAATTGTTAGTGACATTTTTCACTCCGATGAAAGGCAAATCTAATCTGTTTTGATGTATACTTTTTCTTATGAAGTCAGAAATTAAGAAATGTTTTTCACATCGTTAATAACTCCAGATTAAATCAGTTCAATTCTGTGTTGTTCAGTTCCTTGCAAGTTGTATCTTGCTGCTCACTTTTAGCATATTATACATCACTTTTTTTCTAAAGAGCTACCATCTCCGTTTTTAACATTTGAATCTTATCAGTGATGCACCATGACGTTATTGTTCGGGAGAACCTAAACTCGACAGTCATCCCCAATTACGAGATTGACCAGTGGGAGGATGGAGTTGAGCGGGATACTACACGAATACACATTCCTGAGGGCGTAATCCAACCCAAACCGGAAGTGGACGACCCCTCCATGATTTCCATCGAAAGCAACGTCGCTTTAACGTCCTATATCAAGTACAACACAGTGGGAGAGCTCTTACCTAACCAATCAGATTCCAGCGTCAAGTAAGTCACCAATGGAACTATGCCCTGCCTTGGCCAGAATTGACCAACTGGGTTCAAAGCGTGATCACAAAACATTAAAATGTTCTATGAATTGATCAGGTCATAGTGCAACTGTTGGTTGTAAATACTGCAAATGAACTTCTGATGGATCAGAGTCGAAGCATAGTACAGTGTAAAGGCAGATCCAAAACTAATTTGTTTTTGGGGGGTAGGGCCTAATTTATTTCAGTTCACCCCAAAATATTTTGAATTTCTCTCTGTAACCTTTATGGCCTTTGTGATTGTTGAGGCATAATTTGGGGTCTTCCTGCAAGCTCTGCAAAGGAAAGGAAATGCAGTTGTCCTTAAAATTCTCTTTGCCTTATTGTATTTCACAAACAAATTTGTGCCCCTCTCTTTTGTCTGCCTGTTACACTGATCTGGCTTTCTAAAATGGCTGGGTAACTGTATATTTGAACAAGAATGATTTTCTGCAAATGTCAGAAAGCTTAAGCAATGGTTTGTACACCCTCCATAGAATTGTGTCCAAATGTTCATATATACATCTTCATTATTGAAAGTATGCACTCATCATTGCCTTGGTAGTTAAACTTGATTCCAACTCTACCAATATATGTTTTGTTCTGTAGGACGTCAAAAAATGATTTAAATCTGACGCAGAATGTGAAGTGAAGTCTCAGTAACTGTACTTTCCAATTCAATTTTGTTTTACTATATAGTCATAATCTCAAACAATTTCTTAACTCTGATTAGGTCATCAGAGGGCGCCGTTGGTCAAGTCATCAACACCCCCGTCATCTCATTGTCACTGTATGACCACCTAGCCACTGAGGGCAGCACTAAAGATCTGCTGTACCCAATCATCTTGGAGATCACCGCTCTGGGTCGAGCAAACATCCATAATCCGCAGTGCATCTTCTGGGACTTTTTCTTGTAAGTCACAGTTTTAAGTAGATGCCATGTGAGCGGCTCACCCTGATTGAAGAACTTGTGGGCTGATGTGGAATGTTTTGCCTGTGCAACCAAACATTCAACCCAGATGCAGCTGTTTGCCAATGTGAATTGCACTGCATTAAGTACTGGCACCCAGTAGACTATTGCCTTGTGAGGGTAACAAAGGAGTTTGTTTCATGTTTTTGTTCGCATTTTCAGATTAAATCATAGATGTGGTGATCTTAGTGGTTATAATCCACAATCGAATCATTTTGCTTATGAGGATCAATACGTCTGGCCCTCCATATTTTGTGATTTGTATTTTAGGTCACTGTAGTCAGTAAGCAGTTTCCAGTTTTGAATTACATGTGTTCTGATTATAATGAAATCAACATTCTGGTTGCAGATGGGACATTTTCTCTGCTTTCTTTAGCAAACTGCTTTACACTGTGAATATGCAAATTACTTTGTATTCCACAAACAATGGGCCTGTTTGTATCACATGGATCTGGATCTCAATCAGTAACCCCAAAGCTGGTTTGCGTTATCCGTTAGGTGAGTTTCTGGTGTCAGTGAACAAAAATCAGATCACTGATTGGGATTCAAATTGGAGTGAAACAAACAGGCCCCGTGCCTTGTGCAGAAGCCTAGGAATTGCTAATCTGAATCTTGTATCACAAGTTTTCTAATCTTTGAGTGCAACATATTTGGGGGATTTCGTAACTTAGCCCATCTTACTACACCAGGTCAAGTGTATGTTACGTAAGTCCATCGGCTACAAAATTTCTGGATTTATGTTGAATGCCTTCAAGCTGTTCAACAAGCTGCATGTGTTTGCTGTCTTCCTCTGTGGCAGGTTTGAAGGGGTGGGTGGCTGGTCCACCAAGGGTTGCTCTGTGGACTCCTTCAACACCACCCACATCAACTGTTCCTGTAACCATCTCACCAACTTTGCTGTCATGGTGGACAATGCCCCTCCAGTTGTAAGCTCAATGGCATAATTTTGTTAATGCATTCAGAAGTTATTTATTTTTAAATGTTTGGTTTTTCCACGCTTTCCCTTCTCTTCAAGAAGTTATTTCTTTTAGACGCATTTAGCATAATTGATTAACTAGTTAAAGAATATTGGTTTATATATAAACAGAGAGAAATATATTATTTGTAATATAGTTCATGAATGTGTTTGAAGTTGATTAATTACACCTAAGTCATGTGTATTAAGCATATGCATAATAACTATTGTACATCACTGATTTATCTTGACCAATTGCAGAAGGAGTTTGTCCAGCAGCCACTAGCCCTACAGATTGTCTCCTACATCGGTCTGGGCATGTCCATCTTTGCCCTGGTGTTCACCTTTTTCACCCTGCTGTGCATTCCCAGCCTGCATTGCAACCTGAACAGCATCCACGTCAACCTGGTCTTCACCCTGATCGCAGCCGAGGTCACCTTCCTTGTGGGCATCAACACTGAGAACAAGGTAAGGCCCATCTCTAGCAGGGCAAGTTGAAGCAATTTATTTGTGGTAACATTTGGGACATCACAGCAATAAATCTTTCTCAGACCGGCACTGATATCAAGTGCAGTATTGATTCTGTATGTTGCCAAGTGTGTAATTGATTCCACTTCATTTGTGTGTTAAAAGACACTAGAGAGAATTCCAAACATAGAGTAGAAGCAGTGTGTTTTGTTAGTGGGAGGGGGATGTTAGTGCTGTGATGTCCCATGCTTTACAGGTGCACTGAAGCTTGACCTTGCCCTGTACTCAGTACCATGATGCAAGCCTGCCAGCTTGGTCTTGTAACAGTTGGTACACCCATCTTGGAGATGGTGTTCATTGTAAATCCATGTTCTTTTCAAGGTATAAGCACTTATGTATGTGGTACGTTGCATGTTGGAGTTTGTTTCAGTGTAGCAGAGTGCCATAGCAGGAGTGGCTACAACCTGTGTCCCACTTTTTGACACAAAATGGCTTTTTTACTTGCACATATGAAATCAACACTTTGCTACTGATTCAGTGCATCCTTTACCCTTGTTTGTCCAGATTTTGGGACCTCATTGTTGCCACTATGCATGTAGGGATTGTGGATGAGATTGTTGGTATATATTTATTTCACCATCTAATTGAGGGCCAAAGGAAGTTTTTTAACAACCCACATGAAACGGTTTGGTTACAGACTTAAAAGAAAACTTGGAGACCTGTGTGACATGCCCCTAACCCTCTCCTTTACCATTTACCCTAACTTCCCCCCCCTCCTCTGGAGGAGTTGAAAAGCAACTTAAACTGGTAACTGTATTAATAGCTCAGTCTACTCACCCTTGATGTCATCTCCATCCTCCACAGATTGCCTGCACCATTGTAGCCATCCTCCTCCACTACGCCCTGCTCAGTGCCTTTGGCTGGATGTTCATTGAAGGCATCCACCTGTACCGAATGATGACAGAAGTCCGCAACATCAACCAGGGGCCCATGACCTACTACTATGTCATCGCCTACGGCTTGCCTGGACTCATTGTAGGGCTGGCGGTACCGCTGAGCGAGGCAGACTACGGTCAGCAAGTCAACATGAATGGCCAACACTTGTAAGTGCTACTCTGAAATCTGGTACCTGATGTTTTCCTTCCATACTATATTCTAGATTTCTGTGAGTTCATCTCTTGAGCATAAAGATACCTTGCCATATCAAACCAGTCACTTTTTGCATATTCTTCCTTATTCATTTTATCTGCTTAGCTGCTGGTTATCCATTGAAGACATCCTGATCTGGAGTTTTGCTGGGCCTGTGCTGGCTGTTGTGGTTGTAAGTAACGGTGGAAAACATATTTCAGCAAGCAGTGAATCTTTTAATTATTTGATGGCTTAGAGGGATTTACTTTTGACCACACAACTTTAAGCTCTCATTCAGTCATGGACAGTGGTTGTTATTTCACTTTATGATCTTATTCAGGCTCCTGGTGTGATTTTCCCTCCTTTGTGACTGTCTTTTTTTCATATTTCTCTTTCAGATGAACCTGGTGGTGTTCTTCCTGGCTATCAGGGTGACTCTCACTGGCAGAACGAAAAACCCAGAATACCAAAACACCAAGTAAGTCATCTCTAAAGAGATGTACAGAAAATATAAACACTGCATTTTTCAGTGCTGAGATAATTGCAAAATCTTTATTTTCGATATTTGAAATAAAAAGTACAAAGTTGTTACCCTCTGCTGTATTCAGTACCATGTTTAAGCACATCTATTTATGAAAAAGAGATAAAGTACTTTCCTTGATGCCCCGGGTGTCTAATGCCTCGCAGAAGTGTAAACCAAGTTTTAACGAGTCCTGCTAACAAAGTGAGCAGATTGTGTGGTCAGTTGATACACATCTTCTTGTGCTTGGCTCTGGATATGTGGCTGGAATAATTTTTAAGTGCCTATTGTTTGATTTTCCCAACCCAATGATGTCTGCTTTCCTCTTTAGGCCCTTGTGGTAAGTAAGGCTGGAGATTTGATTCGTTTCAGTGATTTCAGTGTTATCAAGTTTACTTTTGTTGTCACCTGCATTCCCAACCATTTGTGCTCAAAACCAAACAAGAAATCAAAAAAGCAGGCAATGCATTTTGGAAGAAACAGATTATGTTACCACAGTGTTTTGAGTTTATTCAGAAGTGTGCCTGTTAGAAATGACAGTTTGACGTGGAAGTTTCCAAAAGATATTTTGAATAATTTCCGTAGATATTGGAGATGCATGCACAAGTACTACAGTTAACCTTGGAAAACCGTAAACTGTACACCGTTTTTTGTTTTGATACATGCATACATATGTTTGGAGCACTCAGTTTTGTAGTTGGTACCTTTGTACATCTGCATGATTTGATTTATGGATGCCCCAAACGCACTTGCTGTAAAGAACATTGCTGTGCAAAGAGATGTTGTGAGGAACCTCGTTCCCAGCGCCAGTTCCCATGTGAAAAGTGACTTGAGAAAGTGTGGTCAATTTTTTTGCCAGTGTTTTAACATCACTTATTTTTGCTTCAACAAAATCTTTGATTTGATTCCCAAAAGAAAAATGTCATGTTTTATTGCAAAACTTAAAAGTGTGTAGTGAGCAGCAGGTGAACTCAAAACAATAAAACGGATGAAGAACACTGTGATCACTGGTCATCAGAAGTGAACATGATGAGATGCCTTACGGAAGATCACATACTGAATAGTCCTGCTGTAAGGTTTGGACCAACATTTTGATAGACTTCAACACTACATATCAGACCTCCCAGCCAAAAGGCCATTACACCAGCCGCAGGGCTGGTGCACACTCTACCCATAAGCCCACATTATAAGCCATCAACAGCCCCACAGCACTTCATGGTCATTAGGTCATGGTACTTTTTATCTTTTCTCAACTTGCCCCATACCCTGATGTCCCCTATTATCTTTTCTGTCATTGATAGGTCTGGGCTACGCTCAGCAGGCATCCTCCTGCCTCTTCTGGGCATCACCTGGGTCTTTGGTCTGCTGGCTGTCAACCAGAATGTGGTACTCTATCAGTACCTCTTTGCTGCCTTCAACTGCCTCCTTGGATTCTTCATCTTCCTCTTCCATTGCGTCCTCAACTCCAAGGTATGTCTTGATAGCTCACATTTGCTAAGCTTGATACACTTTCTTAGTCTTCTATTGTAGTGGGCTTAATTTGATATCAGTTTTGAGCCAATTTCCGGATTGAGTTTCTAGTCCATTGGTACTGCAATCCTACAGTTTAGTCTTTCGATTTCTGAATGTCTATCACTATTCAGGGTTCCACAATCTATGTGGTCTGTGGCTATGGTTCTTGGTTGTTGTCCATCTCCTGTGATCAAACTTGTGATTTGACCTGCGATACAACTCATAAAAACTTGTGATTTGCTCAACTACAACTCCACGTGGTTGTATCCTTAGGTTTTTACTTTGACTTAATCCTTTCTGAGCATCTTTGAATTGAAATTTGTTTCCCCTTTATGTATGTTTATAGTTTGTCACTACGGGACAGATGTACAAACACTGGGATAAAGAGGTCCAAATTAACTAAGAATTTAATATCAACAAGTAGTTTTTTAAAATGAAAATCTGCAAAGTATATCTGTCTGTGCTGAATTACTATGTTTGTACTGAATATGTGAGAATTGGTCTCTTGCTGCTAATTGCATTGAGATTTATTTTGTTTTAGAATTTTACCAGGGCCTTAGTTAAGTTAGAGAGGCTTGCAGGCTTGCCTCGAGTCAATTAATTCACTTGGCTTGGTCATATTTGATGCCGTTATCAACAATGCAACCAACATACATAGCAACACACATTACTTGAGAAGGTCATCTGTAACCATAAACATTAGCCAAAAATGGTAGATACCGGGTAAGTGACGAAGTTCATGTTTTCCTGCGTTTCCAGTAATTTCATTATCAAATAATACCACAAGATAATGTTGTATCTTGTTTAGGTACGGAGGGAATGGATGCGATGCTGTCTAGGCATACAAGGAAAGAAGGTTCAATTTGATGAGAGTGTCAATACCTCCGTAAGTAAACAATGCATGTCTGACCTTCAATTATGTCTTTAGCTAGAAATGGTTTAGATTAATACGCTATGATGTCAAAGCTTTCATCCAATCAAAAATCACAGTGGGCAACTAGTCTTAAACCCTATCATTATTCAAATTACCTTGAAGGAAATTGTCAGCAAATTAACAAAAAAATAAGGGAACATGATAAGGACATGTTGTCCAGACTGGAACGTACTTGAACTCATAGTACTCTGCCAACTGAGTTATCAGTTGCATACAGTTCATGGAGTCGGCTTATTACTGTTCAGACCTTCTGCTGTAAGCCATGAGACCTAGTCATGTTGTGTGACCTGAGGACTGTACCCCAATTATTCCTGTTCCTTAGCGGTCAGCATTGTCATACAGCAAGACGGATGGGCAGTTCCGACACCACATCGGCATCTCCACTGGCTCCATCGGTAGCAGTCATGGCAGCCGCAGCACCAAAGTCAGCAACAGGTGGGTCTGGTAGGCTTCATATGAGCTAAGGGCAGATTCTCACCCCATGTGAAAAGGTGCTTTGTGTCTTTGCAGAGGTTACTCCTAGTTTCTAGAATGTGCCGCTAATTCAGTGGTGGGGAGGGTCAAGGATATCAGTTTTCAAGCAATAGCCAGAGTTCCCTTTTGTTTTCCATGTGAAAAGTTTGGGCTAATTTGAAGCCTTAACAAGATCTATTTATATTTCTCTGGCCTCGTTTTTAGCTCTGGACAAGAAACTGGGCCCAATTTCATAACGCTACTAAGCACATGATTTAACACTTGCAGAGGCTTCACATGTTTCAGTAAGCACAGCAAAAGATATGCTGACCCGAGAGGAGAAAATTGCTTAACTTTATGATGTAACAGTAAACATGTCTATGCATGTGCAGCGGTTAGCACAGCCTTGCCCAACACTACTGTGAAATAGTGCTTAAGGTTAGCAAATATTTCTGCTATTGTAAGCATAACTTTTCTGCTAACTGTTAAGCAGCTCTGTGAAATTAGGCCCTCACCAGCATCCTTGCATTGAAGCATTCTCTTACTTAAAGATGCACATTTTTGTTTTGGTACCAAGAGTGGTGTTCATACTTTCTGTTGGGGATGCGCTTAATGGTTGAAGTGGATTCAGTGGCATGACCTCAGACAATTCAAGACGTAAAGTCAAGGAGTAAAATTTCTAACAAACGAATCTGAGAAACTTTGCGTTATTTTCGCTTTGTTTGCTACCTCAGGCCAGAGGGCTATCTACGAAACACAGCCAGCACATCTACAACATCCCCCTCCAACCATGAGTATGTTCCATCTTACTACAACTACAAACCCAAAGTCACCAATCTGGATGGTAAGTGGGTGGTTTTTGCATTACCTGGACAAGGCATTCCACTAATTATTCTAAAGGTTTCCAGTCACTGGTATGCACTTACTGGAGAAGATAGCACAGAATGTGTTTCCAGGGGGAAAAAGATGTGCTCTGACACAGACTATGGTAGCAGGATTGCTATACATTCCTTGGGCCGTATGGTAAATGGAAGTGGTTTGGCTTTGGTTCTATTTATGCACTCATTGGGAAATAAGATTTCTTTGTGTTCTTTGATAGCTGTTATTCTGTTAAACCATTTAGGTGTGTGATAAATACTGAGAGACAGGAGTGGGAGTCTGGGTACTTTCATTTTTTTCATGAAAAGTTGTGCCAAACAAATATGTCATACTGTAGTCGGGCATCCTAGTTCATATTTGCTCTGAGGACACAAGATGTACAGAGGGGCTGTAAAATATCTCGTTAACAATGATCTGGGCTTCTTGGAAGAATTTATCCTGAAGGACCAAAGACCTAATCCTTGTGGAAATGACAATTCTCAAAATTCCCTCATCTCATCATTGATACAGCTAACACATTTATTCATTACTGTTGCTGAGTGATAATTGATACTGTCTTTTGGTAACTTTTTTTTCCGGCTTCAATTTTGAAATCGAGTGACTGGCTTATGCATGCGTATTTTTTTAAATGCTATAATGTGTGAAGTTAAAAAGCTATCAAAACAAGTTATTAAAACTCCGCTTCTGTTTTCTCATGAATATTCTTTTAAATCCACTCTGCATCCAACCAAATTCTGTGACCAAAATATTTGAATTGACATGGTCCTCGATCCTTTTATTTCTTTTTATATATTTAATTTTTGTTCAAACTCAGGTTTTGAGTCAAATTAAAATGTGACCCAACCTAATAGAGTGAGTCTCAAGTCTCCAGACCCATGTTTGACTTGAATGTATTTTAGCATCTTGCACAAAATAAATTGACAGGTGCCTGCAACATTTTTTGCCAATGTAATTCATATTCAATTTCATCGAGATTTCGGCATAAGTTATTCATCCAAACATAGACCTCAGTTTGCTGTTTTTTAAATGCAAGTGCAAAAGAATCATGGAAAAATGGCCTTAGAGTAATCTTGGGTGATTTGGCCGAAACTCTTGAAAGGCCACAATGTTGAACCTGTCCTGGTGTGTTTAGTAAGCCCATAGCGCACAACAAAATCCCACATTCATTCCTTAGTATGCCACATAGTTGGCCGTTTTGAAAAATTTGAAGCAAGGAGAGATAGAGCCAGAATTGTAACTGGACCAACTAACCCATTTCTTCAGTGCATGTATGCATGACATTCCATTATTAACCTTATACTATTCACAGATCCCGATAACTTGACTCTACTCAACCCTCAAAGAAACAACCTACTAGGTAAGGTCATCACCTAGACCTATAACCCCTCACCCATGACTCAGTATTGTAACAGCGGATGCTTTATAGGTGGTTTAACCTAAATCTGTGATTAGTAGTGAGTGATTCCATTCCCATATTGACCGCTTTGTCCTATTTATTGGGGTGCTCGGTAGAGTAGATTTTATGACAACATTTGGGCTGGACTCTTTGTAGTTTGATCCTATTACTGAAGTATATAACTGCAACACACAAACTGCAGAAAAATCACTGCTGATGCCTTCATTTTCTACTTAACCTCACACCTTACTTCACATATCATTCCCACCTACTTCAAAGTGTAGTAAATTGTATTAGTCTGAATTTTTTCACTAAAATTATAGAAATACTTAAAAACAACAAACACCTGCTGGCCAGTGCTGATCACCCTAATTTTCTGTTGAACACCTCAGCATCTGGCCATTTCACATAATGAGCATGCCACTCACAGAAACTCAGTGCAACCAACCAACTAGCAAGTGGAAGTAGCTTGAAGTCTTTGCCTCATCTCAGCACTTTGGAGACTGAGCCACTGGGGGGTTCTTGTTATACCTTCCCTGTGCACTAAGACGACCTTTTGCAACCTGTTGAATTGAAACCAAAAACCCTTCCACGGTGATGTGCTTAATTTTGTTGACAAAATCAGTACCTGTCAAATTTTTTTAGATGTTCACCTGCTTCATTTTCTCTGCTTCTAATCATAAACATTCATTTCACTCAGAAAGGACATTTCTAGAGATTAATCTTGTACTCAGTTGGCAGTCACTATGTATTTGGTAGACAAAAAAAAAATATTTCATCACTTTACTAACACGTTCACCACCGTTTGCGTCCATTTTCTCACTTCTCCATGCACTTACCCATTCCTTCATTCACCATGCTGTTATTACCCATGTCCTGACGGCTTGCATAGACTGGGATTATGACTTTAGTGGCAGTCACACGGTCACGCTGAGCAATAGCTGCAATAATAGCCGTAGTCAGAGTTGTGTTAGCCAAGGCAGGCGGAGTCATCGAAGCCGTGGCAGCCGTGGTAAGATCAGTGGATGTCAGCTGGAGATTGTGAGCAGATTTATTGCTAGCAGTGTCTGGTTTTTGCATGATGTTTGCTGATGGTGATATTGTTAATATATGTTTACTGCGAAGCTTTGAACCTAGAAAGTATGGGAAGGTGATGACCACACACAGGCTTTTGTATTTATGTTTGCGCTTTTGTGTTGGTTTAGTTTGATATTAGATTTGAAGTTTTGCCTAAAGAATTGGGATCATGATTTCATGTTAAATCATGCAACTAACCTCACATCTTAAGGCTCTGTGTCACTTCAAGACCTCATGCCAAACCTGAAAACTACATCTTGAGTCAGATTGAAAAAAAAAACAGTGTTGTGTGAAGATTTGTTGTCAGACCCAGACATCCATTCATTGGATGCTTTATGATATACCAAACTGGCTCATTGAGGTGAAACCTCAAGTGAATGAGCAGTAGTCTGTTGAGAATGTCTTCATAAACAAGAAATCTTGCCCAAACCTTGAAGGTTGGGTGCAGACACTCATGTTTTTCTTAGTTTTGGGAAGTGAAAGGGGGAAATCAGATTTCATTGAATGGTAAACTTATTGAAACTGCACAGTATCCTTTATTATTCAGTTGTCATACAACATCTGTAAATTGCACCTGTCTCGTCCATGAAGTGAAACGCTGTAGTACCTCATTCATTATCATCTTTAATGAATGTTGCATGCATAATTATGAATGTCAAACTGGCAATACAGCACCGTTCACTATATTTTGGGTTGAAGTTTTTTATTTCTTCTGTAAGTTGGGTGGTGGGTTTTGTGTCTCACTTTATGATTTCCCACACTGATATAATTTCATTCTTTGTGAGTGCTATATTTGTAAATTGATTGTTTAAACCTTCCACATGCATCTTATATAAATGGTGTTTTATGAAGTGAATGATGTTATGTGGTGAACACTTAGGCAGTGCCTACTATTATTTATTATTTACAGTTCATATTTAAGAGTTAGTAAGTCTAAACTTAGTTTGTAACTTAATTTCTCAGTGTATTAATGGGGTCAGAATAGTGTAGTTTGCTGTATGGACGTTATTGAAGTTCTGAAATTCAAGGAAATATGACATTTTCAAAGTTAGCAACATGCATATCCTATTGTGGTAAAAATAGTCATGACTTGTGTGTACATGAAAATGATTAGACCCCCAAAATTCTGTTTAGCCTCATAAAGACTGGTCAACCAGAAGTAGGTGCTTTAAATCTGACATTTCTGTGACTTGTCCCTCACAGATGATCAAGATTCTGATTCCGACAGTGACGCGTCCATCCAGCGTAATCGTGACAGCATGTCCTTGGCGTCGTCACATTCCTCAGATGAAGAAGAGGAGGAGGGTGTGGACCTGTGGAAGTCTGCTCCTACCAAAGTGAACCTGCCAGGTGCGTTGGCATTATTCAGAAACACTGCGGTGATCAGTGGGGATGGTGTTAGCCTACTCCCAGCCTCCTTTCTCCACTCACTCGATGCGACAACTGAGACTAAGTAGACATCATTGGGCAAAATCTTCCTATTATTGGATATTTTCTTTTTAAAGGGACAGTTTCCCTTAAAATGCATGCATGGTTGTACCTGTTGTTTTTTTGTGGCAGAATTCTTTGCAAAGGAGACTAGGCATATGCATTATCATGGTGTATGGTGTACAGGTGGCTTTCAGTTTACATTTGGTCTACCTCAAAATATTGAGGTTAGGCCAAAAAAAGTCTCTGGTTTCTGGTCAGCACGCATGTCACTGTAGACCTGTGCATCTGCAAAATAAAAGTTTGTATTTGGTATAAACGATGTCAAAAAGCTGCAAAACTTGGTTAATCAACTGGAATCCGGTTACTGTGTAAGTTTAACATGTTTGTGATGGGGTATGGTTTAATAATATGTAAAGGAGTCTGTCTATTTCTCCATACATTTTGTTGGGCACGCTTTTTCAGATGACGTCATTTCTGTATTATACATTTACATCTGGGAATCAGACAAAAGAGGTGGTCTTATGTCCTGTGTACATGTACAAGCTGAACATGCTTTTAAACAGTAAAAAGTGCAGGGGCCAGTCCATTTTAGTGTTGATAGTAGCTGGCGTTACATGCGCATTCAGTCACGATGGACATTGTGCATTACACACACATTATTTCCTGAAGAAAAACAGCGAGGATAAAAAAAAGCTGCTTCGCTGCACCACTTTTGGAGCCAGCTCCCGATCAGAAACTTTTCTTTTTGGCCTCAATAAACCAACAGTCTGTTGTTCAATTCCGTAGGTGACAGTGAAGTTGTTGTGATAGTTCATACTTAATGTGTGTTTATTTCATATGCAGATAACATAACATCACATGGGTTTGGGCCACTGCACAGCACTCCTAAAGGTAGGATAGAATATTTAAAGAGTGAAAATCTCATGTACATTTGTGTGCCCGTGTCAGAGTGTGTTTTTAGTGTTGCTTTTAATTTTCAACACTACTGTGTTGTCTCTCAGAATAGTCAAAATGGCTGACTCTGACCATTTTTTCATCTTCTGAGCAGGGTGTAGGAACTGTCCAAACGGTGCACAACACAATGCTCATACAAAGACCACAAAATGTAGACGGGCAATGCAACTTTTCCTCAGCTCAGCTGATTTCCTTGTTTTTGACTTCACACTCATGCCACTGAAAATTGAAAAACACTGTCCAAAGTCTTGTAACAGACAGTAATTTCCTTGTGTTTGTCAAAATCCAAGTTGCATGCCAGATATGTGTATTGAGACATGTTACTTGTGTTGGTTAATACAACATGCCTTGACATTTGGAACTGAGAGAGGAAAATGAGGATTGTATTTGTAAAAAGAAATAGACTTAGAACAGATTGCTGTTTGAATTCATTCAACAGAAATGACAGTCCTGACAACAGACAGTGTAGACAACAAATGCAAGTGGCCAGGGGAGCCCTACACTGGGGAGCTGGACAGCAAGCCAGAGTGTAACCTACGAGCAGAACTGAAGATCCTAGATCCCAAGTTCCCCCTTGATAACGACAGAGATAACAGTGTGACAGGAAGCGTGACAGGGAGTGTGACAGGCAGCATTGATGGTAAGGATGATGGTTTGGGTTGGTGGTGAGGAAGGGAAGTGGATAGTGTGACAGTTGGAGTTGAGTTTTGGCCAAAGGAGGCAAAGTAGGCAAAAGTCGGCAAATAAAGTAGGCAATAAAGTCCAGTCCTGCTCACTGTACAGTGTGAGATGTCAACCAACCTTACATTACAGCATTCCGATGTACTGTCCTCACAGGGGTCATGTTCAAACTCAGCTAAGTCACCATTTTCTCTTCACCTGATTTTGAGATCCTACATTTGCCGATTCCAGCTCAGTGTTAGTTGAGATATTGCAGCAGGAATATCAAAGACATAAGTCATTTGGTTTGAACATTACAACAGTGACAATATAGAGGTTGTGCATAGCAGCCATCTTTCTGCTTGTCGCAAAAGGTCTACAAATATGTACCCTTGTGGAACAAAAGCTCTTACCAGAAACTAGCTGCAGTGCACTTTAAAGTGGATCTAGGTTCAGAGCTAAAGGCAGAGAGGAAGCCGAGGTTTTAGAAGGGCCCTCTATCCATGCTTAAACATGACCAGTCAGACTCACTTATTCAAGCAATCACCTGCAGCAGTGCATTCTTACACTATAGCAAGTGGCTCTAGTGAAGTTTCAGAAGCAGTAAATCCACAGCCTATTACCAGCGTTATTGGAGTCAGAATTCCAATTGAGAGTGAGAGTTTGACCAAAACCATTTCGTAATCCGTTTTGGTTCAATATTCCCACTGGCATGTTTTTCTTTGCCAGTTAGAGGGTGCTTCTAGTCAGAGCAGATTAGTGTCAGTGGAATAACATTGGAATAATAACAAGCTGACATGTATTGTAAATTTACGATTCTTTTTTCGTAAGTAGAGAGCATACGTGTAATGAATTCTGTTCCTTGTGTTTTGTTTTTGCACAACAGGCAGCAACAGAAACCTGATTGTTTCCCATGTGTCTGCCCGGCCGGACATCCTCCCTCTGAAGGGCATCATGAAGACCCCCGGCAGCTCCCATAAAGGCTCCTCCCAGGGCTCAGGGTCAGGGTCGGGCTCCAATGCTAGCCTGACCAAGATCCCCATGTCAGTCACCACCACCCCAGACAAGTATGGCTCAGGACAGGGGGTGACATTCCCCCCAGAGCAGAGGAGTCACGACTCTGAATCAGAGTAAGTCCCTTCCTAGGATCTTTTTCTTTGCCTGTCATAAGGCTATTTTACACTGCTTCCTCTCCTCAACCTGGGTTGAACTCAACCCTGGGTATACCCAAGACCGCTCTGGATTAAAAATTAGATTTTCAACCTGATGTTGTTTCACACTTCTTGTGTGCAAACCGAACTTATCAAGGTGAGTTCAACCAGTCAATGAGTGCAAAAAATTTTCAACCCAGGTTCAAAATTGACAACCCTGGCCCAGAGCAGGATCGAGTTCAACCGGGGTTGAAATTAGTGTCGGGGTTGACGCCGGGTTGGTGCGGGTATGAAAATTTTCAGGTTTGAAACATCACCAGTTTTCAACCTTGTGTCAGCCCCAAGATTCGTCTTGTCTAAAAGGCCTGTACCCCTTGCTTTGAATCCCTTAACCTCCCCAGTATTGCATTACAATACACCACTGAAATATTTTGGAAACAATAACTGCTGATAACTAATTTCAAGGTAATGTGGCAAACCAAAAATTCTAATTAGTTATTGAAAACATTTGAACTTTTCTGAAATCTCTTCTCTTTCTGACATTCTTGATTACCCTGCTGTTTTTACCTGTTGTAGGATCATCTTCTGAGCAAACTGGACTGCTTCGAACATTACGCCACTTGAAAGAAATGGGTTTTTTTGTAGGAAGGTGTGGCTGTTTTCTTGAGATATCAGAAATGTAATTTGGGACAGCATGAAAAGTGAGGGCTCTTGCTGCATGTCAATAAACATTGCCTTATTGGATGTTGTGCACAACATTTTGACAACAAAAATTAAATAAGCATGTTTTTGTGAATGAATAATTTCTTCAAAGTCAAACTGATTGACGACCTAAATAAATGTTAGTGGTTAAAGACTAGTGTTAGTTGTGAATTGTGAAGATGGTGCTGTCATTCATGAATTTTTCATCTTTTCCAAAAAGCGTTTTCTCCAGTGTATCCAGTATTTTTCTATATGGCTTTTAGTTTTTCATCATGAGGATGAATTGATGATAGCAGCTGTTTTATATCAGTTCATATTTTTCTGCATTTTTTCTTTTTTTCTCATCTGCTTTGAATCAATTTCAGCTCCATGAACAAACCTTCCAATCCTAAGTCTTAATGCCCGTAGAAATTTTATTTCCTGCATCCAGCTTTGTCAAAGCTGTAAACAGGAAAACTTTTTGTTTCATTAATTTCAGAACAATGCTATATTTTGTTGATTGCAGAACGTTCAGTATTTCAGTCCTGATCTACATTCAGAATTCAGCTGAAGTTCTTCATTGTCATCTTCATTTTCACCACTAAGTTTGGCCATTTATTTAATGTGTTTTATTTTTTGTTTCTATTTCCCCCTCCCTGCTTTTGTTTTTGTTGCCTTGTTTACACAGTGGGAGCAGCAATGAAACATCGGTATGACGTGCAGTTGATGTCAACGCCATTGCTTTGTGAAGGAGTATGGTGTGCATGTTGTGTCAAAATATTGTGGTGTTGTGTCTCTTTCCAAAAAACTGTACAGCTGCATTTGAATGATATACAGTATCAAATTTTTGTAGATACTACAAAATTATCTAAACATGTACATTTCTGTACAATTTCTTTTCTTCTGTACATTTTTGCTTTTTTAAGTGTGTGTTCCTTACCTTAGAAGCTTCAAAGTTTCTTATGTGGAGTATGGGTCATGCATTGACTTTTGTGTGATTGATACGCTGGTCTGTGGTCTTTTGAAATCTTATGGGATACTTTTATGGCCAAGCGGTTTAGTCTTAAGTTTTGGACATTGTTCCCTGCTGGGTCCTGCTCATACATATCCATGTATCACGTGTGAGAATTCACAATGACTTCCTGTTTCATCTGTAGTGTAGGCTTTCGTACAGAATGGCAGTTTGGTTTTAAATTTTTAAATTTATTTTCAAACCACTGTCACTTTTGAGCTGTAGATTTGGGGGCATTTTAAGTGTATTTATTTTTTAAACTAGCCAACTGGATTAAATTGTCTTTTAATCATTGTTTTTAAATGAAAAGAATAATATTGAAAGAAGTGTCCTGTTGATTTACAGACTAGAAGGTTACTTGACATGGGACATTCTCAGGGCCCAGTTTTTCATAGCCATAAAATGGATAAATAAATGCTGGTTATTCTAATTTCATAATTCGTAAACTCTACAAGTTGCATTCCAGCAACTTTATATTGGATTACAAATTGTGATGTGTGATTTCAGAACACTTAATGTCACTGCGCTGCTGAGACTAACCGTTCGCATTGTTTACTGTGCAGACCTGTTAATACATTGGAGTCTTGGAGAAATCTATTTTGTCTTCATTGCTGAAAGCAAAATCTGCCTCTGAAGTTAGCAGGGCCTTTATTGTGGCTATTGTGTACCTGGAATAGACAGGGCAACTAGCAGAACTTTGTGTTCTCGGAAGTGCCATAAAACCGCCCCTTAGCCTGTAAACAGCATTAGAGGTTGGAGCCTGTCGGATGCTTTTGGCACATTAGGTTAACAACAGTTAAGGGTTATATCACCAAAAAAAATACATGTACAGCCATCAAGGTACAAGAACATTCCAAGAAGACCAGAAAATTCGTAGTTTCTTAGAATGAACATATTCTGGATGAACGTACTCCTAAAGAAAAAGTCCGAGATTAGGATGATTTGATGGTGAGACTTGATATAGGATAACTGTTACATCCTTTCATCATTTACAGCTTAAGAGGTGTCCTGCTTAGAGACCTCTTCAATTCTCCAGAATACCTCCATTTGCATCACAAACCATATGCTGTCTTTCCCCAAGTAGAGTGAACAAGAAGATCATCAGTTCTATTCCCAGACTACCAGCAGAGCACGGTAGTTGTGTGGTTACTGTAGCTGACTCACATGTGTTGGTGTGAGTTCAACCACTGACAGGGATCATGGTGCTTGTGATCTTAGGCAAGACACTTTACTTCAATTACATGTACCCTTTCATTCATGAGTAGTGAATACCTTGTAGGGCAGAGATTAGATTGTGCTGGTCTCAAGCAGCTGCGTTGAATTGGTGTCATGGCCAAATGAAAAGCAGTAATCCACTCTCGGACATACATGCACATGTACGTGTACAATGCTATATGTCAGCAACACATTATTATAAACTTATCACTTTTACATTGTTATTTTTGGATGACGTAGGATGGTCCCAAGTGTTAGGTGAAGGTGGCCAGGATTCATCATTTTTCCATTCTGATTTTCATACTCCCCACATTTTTCCTTTTTTTACATTACCGCAGTACTGTATAGTGTTTTGACTGTTTAGCACGTTATGATTTAGTCTCTGTATATATTGTGTAAATGATTCCAGTAATGCGTGCGCTTCAGCTTCTGAAATTAGGAGAAAAACTGTTTGTATTTATAAGGCTTGGTGATTTGTTTTTAATGAGTTTCTAACGATTTTTAATTGTTTCTTAAAATGAGACTTCATGAAAGTAACATTTGGATGATTGTTGCTAACACCTGAAAATGTTACAAGGAATCTTGTTTGACTGTGATAGACTTTGGAAGAAGAAGTGTGTTATAATGCTCGTGTATGCCGTTGATTCAGTATTTTTGTTTATCCAAGTACAGACACTGCAGTAATGCCAGTGACAAGGAGTTAGGAAACAAGGAGTAGAAGGCGCTGTAAAGATGCCATTGTCTAGATAGATCTTCAGAGAAATAAATGCGCTTTCATGAAAGAAGATTTTATCATATCACGTTAGTGTAGAAATGAGAGACTGGAAAGTTATCCATGCGAATGCGTATATTTATGTATGTATTTGAGAGGATTGCTGTATAAGATGTTATGTTAAATCAGGCTGGAATTTGCCTGTGGAAATTTGTTAATGAAAAACAGAAAAATGTGAAAATGAATAGCTGGTACTTGTACAGTGCTTCCAGCATAATTGATGTGTCGTGTGAGTGTAATTGGACATGCAAATTTGGACAGCAGGCACATTCATTATCATCATTCAAGCAGCATACATGTGCTTAGAAGCACACTACATGTATATGTGTATTTTGTTGCATGCATACATGTAGCTGTCCAAAACATTGCTGATGGGAGTGAGTGATGTCATCTGCACACCCAGCCTGATGTACAGTTCCAAATTCCATGGCATGACAATTTCTATCAGCCCAGAAAGTTGCAAATTGAAGGCAAGTTTATTGAGTCCTTTCTTTGTCTTCATTGTGGTGCCATGCCTTTTTTTTTAAAAATTCAGAATCCCTTTAAAATGCTTTATTACTCTTTTCCTGGAATTGCAAATAACAATTCCTTATCAGTGCAAGTTTAAAGGTCCATTTTGTTGTAAATTTGACTGTTGAATGAGCAATAACAGCCCCTGCCATTCTTCTGTGATTGTGTTCCCACCAATCAACTTCCACCATGTTTGTGAGTTTGCCCTTACTCTACCTCTAGGTCTTGCAGTAATTGCTTTCTGAATTACTAGAGACAGTAGTAAGACTACTGTTGGCTTTGTCACTTGCTAGACTCCCCCCCCCGAAGAATAGATGAATTAACTATGCAATATGTTATGAAGAAAAGAAGTGCTCACAAAGTGCTGGTACTTCCTACTTGAATGTGACGTTTTGATTTGAAATCAGTTGGTGTCCCACAATGTCAATGGCTGTGCACCGAGTGTCAGTTGTAACGTTGTTGGTGCATCCTATTTACTTTAAAGGCATGACCTGTTGATAAACCTAGACCCCCTGATCACTATTTATCAAGACGGCCCCCAGTAATGGTTTAAGCCAGCTATTTTTGTGCAATAGCCTGCACCATGTATCTGCCATTATGAGGGGCCAGCCTGATGAACAGTGATCATGTGCACACATTAGTCTGAACTGACAGCAGCCGTGTTACACAGGTTTGGAAAAAGTCACATCCTTTTAAGTAATAATTATCAGTACACAGCCCTTCAATTGATGTGGCTGTGTTCCAGTTCATTGTTCAAGGGCATTTTCAAAAACCCTCAAACAGCACAGAGTAAACAATGTAGGGCAAAGACAAAATGCCAAATCAGTCCATTTCATTGGTAGTTGGTGCCAATTACTTGTACTGTCCTTAGACTGTCCTGTTGAAGTTGTGAAGTCTCCCTCCATTCATCTTATCAATCTTCCGTCAAATCCACCTTTGTTATCCACCAAGCCTTAACTAATTGCTATTTACTCTCTTATGATTACCACGGTACTAAACTTTTTGTGATTGCTTTGTACTTTTTAAATATTTAAAAGCTGGCCCACAGTGGCCATTTGTATATACAGTTCTTCAGGTACCATGTACCACTTTGCATGTATTTGCAACCTGGATGTCGGTAGTACTATGTTGTGTATGGAAATCATGTCATATGCATTGTATCTTTATCAAAGTACAAAGAAATTGCCTAAAAATTTATGTGTTTGTAGAATGTTGAAGAAATAAAACAGTTGTGTCTCTTACTTCCAGATACAGCGTGATGGGGTGAACTGAAAAAAAAATCTTGAAATTTGTACAAAAAAAATTAATGGATTTATATATTGAGATCATGCATATGTCCAAATTTGGTGTCTTGTCGCATAGAGAGAGATATATATTGTATCTATAGAACACAGCTTGTAGTGCAAAACAAGTGCTGAGAAACTGTCACTGTAGAAAATGTAGTGTAAACTTGTGTCAGTAGCAAGTGTGTTCTGGGGATTATCAGGGAATCATGGGAGAGAACTTGGAGGTAGTTTGACTGGCAGCCAATCGCGGTCAAGAGTTTGTGCACACAGCCTCAAGTATTGACCAGTTGCGAGCCAACAGTTATCATCTGGGTACCAATTTCATACAGTTTGCAGAAGAGACACGTTTTTGTCACCAGGTCAGGAAGAAACAGCTAGGACATTCTTAAAATAAGGTGACTTGTGTTGGAAAGCTTGTTTAGAGGGAGTCACAAGTAGTCAGAGTTGGCTACTAGGAACATTAAGTGAGTTCTTTGCAAACATGATTCTCCAAGATGGGACAGCAGAAAGGTGAATTGTATTAACAGTGGAACATCACTATAAAGAACACCACTAAACCAAACATTCCGAAACACCAAGCGTACCCCTTGGCTCCCTAATTTTCTGTGCCTGTTAATTGAACATAATGTTTTAAATATGAGAAACATTTAGAACTGATGATAAGTGACAACATTGGGAAAATCGCACTCAGGACTGAACGACGAATACATGGCCCGGTCTGGATCGTTAGTGGGTAGTGTGCATTGCACGTAATGTGTGTGTGGGTGTGTGTCATGCTCACAGCTACAGGCAGCCATGTAGACCAGCTGCCCAGCACTGCATGCATGTATGCCATGCAATACTGGTGACTCCGGACAGGGCGGAAGACTTGCATGATAATCGCTACAAAGCCAGCAGATTTAAGCTTTAAAAACCACCAAAGCAAGAAATTGCATTTGTTACTTGACTCAAAGAAATTTTTTGATAAATATCTTACGTTTTGATCGTTTCCAAATATGCTGACTTCAAACATAATTGTGCCTCTTGCTAGCACTGCTTTACCTGGCGCGGCCCATTTGTTAAAATGCCATTTTACCAACAGGAACCAGTGTAACTGTAGCTACATGTCACTTGTAGCTTTAAGCAACAACTCAAGGAAAACTTGAGATAAACAGAATTAAAAAATACAAGGTTTTTTTTCCTTATATTTTTTACCTATTTTGTGTGTAGATTTTGGACCCAAATCCTCGTACCAAAACATTTTGTGGGGCAGGCTTGCACACGCTTCAATATGCGCCAGAAGTCAGATCGGGTGCCTGTGTCCATGACTGAAAAATGGCTGCACGGAATGATAGCTACACCAAACATTTTGTGTGGACCCCGTCGTGTTCGTTATAGTGATGTCCCACTGTAGTACATGTTGTTACGTGTCTATACTGGCAATCATATAAATTTCATGTGTGATCGCATGCAGAAGTGTGCCAACTATTCTGGCTATACGCATGGAAAGTAATGTTTTCATTAAGCAAGAGCTATGAAATTGGTCTCTAGCCGGTATTTTCATCCCACCGTAGTTAACATTCCCTGCTTCATGTTTTCATATTGGATTCTTGTGAGTTAACAACTGGTAGCTGATCTGTAGGCTTTATTGTGTATTTGCGGTGGTGCTCAATAAGTGTAACATACCATTATGTACTGTTCTTAACACTCCCAACCCTCCAAATCTTCAAGATTGTCAATGAATGTCCATTCAACTTGGAGGGAACCAGATTTGTGAAATAAAAATTGATTTGTCATCTCACACTGTTTTAATGTTTGGAATTTTTTTGCAATGAGTTCTGCCATCTTTGGACATCTGAAAGTGAGCATTCAACTGGAGAAACAAGACAGGAAAATATTGGATGTCTGCATCTTTAAAAAGTCCATCGTAAGTTCACAAGTCAGAGTCTTAAGAAAACAGAAGTATTCCTTTCTCACTGTTCACATTACAAAAGGCTGGACTTGTGAAAGGACTTGAAATGAACTTGACACAATGCCAATTATAAAATGACAGTGAGAAAGGGGTACCTTCACTTGTGTGACCTTATCTTAGTTCATTGTTATTCATGGTGGACATGTATTTTCAAGACGATGTCTCTTAAATCTTTAACATTAATTTGATTGTACTTCCAATGTGATGTTTTCTTTACTCTCCAGTCATTAACATCAGTCCTTAAATGAATTTCTTTTATTTAAAGCAGATTTTCAGTTATAAAACTGTATGGAAAATTCAAGAGCCAAAAGAAACGTTTGGCATAGACAATACTTTGCTGTTTTGCAAAAAATAAGATTTGTGTGGCTCCGAATATTAACCACTTTCGGCAGGCATCAATTAAAATGGTCATGCACAAAAACCGGCGTTTTCAAGATTTTCCGTTTTCAAAATTCTTCAAATTCATTACTTCATTTACTGGATGTTTACACCCCCACGAATGACTGTCTGATGGCTACTCTGACAGGCAACGTCTGTTGACACCCGTGTATTTCAGCCAGGCCTGCTGCCTTTTAAAGAGAGCCCAGATTGTGCGGTGTTGCGTAATTTTCTCTTGTTCTCGGAACTGGAGCAGTTCGTTGCTGGCATTTTTTTTAATGGGACCAAATTAGCATGCGGCGGTATTGTGTTGCTTAGCACTGCAGTGCTGGAGAGCTTTCATCCGTGGTTGTAATCCTTCGTATTCAATGCCACAAATAGTGGTATAGTGTTCAAAAAAAGGACGGATTACCTCTGCTACTGACAACTGAAAAAATGTTAAGTCCCAGCAGCTCGGTCTTGTGTTCAGAGTGTGTTTTTCTTACAGCAAGACCTGGCTCCTTTGTCTGATTTCAGGCTCCAGCTATGCGTACAAACATAAGGTACCCAATACCGGGCCACCCAGCATGTGGTTAACTCTTACAAATGAAAATACAGCAATGTCATTCCTCTGCAAAGTTCAATTTTAATCTTTAAATACATATACACTGGGACTTTAAGACACTGACATTAAAAAAAATCAACCACATAACACGGAATGAACCAAAATGTTACACAAACTTAATGAAGAATATCGACATTTTCAGGTTGACGTTTAAATTTCTAGCTGGGAGTATGACTGAAAATCTTTACTGCACAAAATATTTCAAACTACACGAAATCATTTCGTACAGTAAATATTAAATATGGAGACTTGAAAACTGTCACATCTGATGACATGTGGCACCTGTATTAAAACCAGGTGCAGGAAAGAAATGCCTTTCTTTCACCCCCAAAATTCAACATCCTAAATCAAACTAACTTAACCCAATAAATCATCCTATGTACACATCCCCATTGTTTTAAACTTAAATTTTATTAGGCTGGCAAGTGGTCATCCAAGAAGTATTCTAGGAACTTTCTAATGAAAGACCAGTACACGATGCAGGAGATTTTGGCCAAACCTTGATTGATATTACATTCAAAGCAGCAAATACAATAAGCAAAAAGTTGTACCTCAATTTTCACATAACTGAAAAAAGAAACTGTACCATGGAATAGCACTTATCACAAACTACATCAAAAGCAACAAGCTGTATATGGAGTTATTCATAAACAACAAACGTGGCCACATAAACCAACTGTTTTTGAAGCTTACGTGAACAGTAAAAACAAACAGAAAATGCAACGGTACTGAATAAGTTTCTTAAAAAAGGCAAACTAAAAAGTCACTTTGAATTTTCAGTTCAAACAGAAAATTTCAAAAGCACATAAAATGGAAAATTCAGTAGCCCAGGAATGTCCATACTTTGCATACTCACCCACAGCAAGCTACTGCGGCAGTGACTTTGGGCAGCTTACAAAACTACAGTTCCACTTGCCAGCCTAACTTGGCTGCCTTCCTTTACCCTAAGCCCACAATGACTTTTCCTTCACTGTTCTGGTTGTGCATCTGTGGGGGTGGAGCTCTGTCCCTCCCCTTTGTTCACATCACTGACGCAGACCCACTGGCCTTCTAGAGACTCCTTCCAAAGACTCACCTAAAAATGCACAATTAATGATGACTGTTTCAACAACAACAAGAACACATACACATGGCAACAACAAATAGTGTTCTATTTTTGCAAGGCTAAGACAAACCAAAAAAGCATCCTCCATGGAAAATGGCGAAATAAGATGTGTGACCTGCTGACGCCTACGAACTACAAAGAGAACACAACCTGAACTGCATAGAACAGGAGTTATGGTCTTACCATTGGGTTTTTTTCTCAGTCCCATCTACACGATTTTTGTTACATAATTCTTGACATAAACTTCACTGCCGCTGTGACTTACAGAGCCATTCAAAATTTTAACAACTTTTGAATTTCAACTTTTCCTCCAACTTCATTTCCCCACTCCCCTCAGTGCTATTTTCAGTTTCAAAACATTGATTTGCCATTGAATGGAAACCCTAATATATCCACATGCACATGAAAGGCACACACATGAAGTTCAATGATGGTGTGATGACACTGTTGGGCAAGTGTTACAATGTGAAAAACTTCACCTTACTTTTCATTCTGTTCCCTTGGGACTAGACCCATTTTCTGCGCTAAATATCACCCTTAAATTAACGGGTGTCCCTTTTAAAACTAGTTGTTGTTTATGGCACTCAAAAACCATGGCGGTCAGACCAATGGTCTAATATGAAAATCAAATGCAGCAGCGTATGTGTGTAGTTCAGGCAAGTCCAAAAGATCAAGGTGGTTTTCTCCACTTTTTAAAAGTGGAAACTACATTTTGATTTCAAATATTTCCCTGACCAAACCACTCAAATTCTCAAGAAATTCCAAACTTTTTAAGCATTGAGAATTTGAATGGTTCCTTATGTCTACAATTTGACACCACCTCACATTTACCTCAGGACACTAGTAAGACTAATTTTCTAATCACTGTCTATGTTTCTGAACAGTTCGCTGTGTTCAATCACAGCCCAAAACATTTCACAACACGAGAGATGTAAACTTTACAATCTGATTTCTTTTTCAAGTTGTGTTTACAGAATGAAGTTCCTCTTTACCTTATTATCTCCTCCCGACACAGCCAAGATATTTCCTGTCACTGACCAGCTCACATGCCATACAACATCACTGAATTTGTTTAAGATCTGTTGGAACAAACGCAACACAAAAAATTCACTCTGATCCATAAAAATTTGATAGAAAATGCTGCATGAAATCAATGCAAAAACAACTTCAAGGTTTCTGGAGTGTGTTCCCTAAAAAAAAAACAATTTCTGGGGTTTGCCGAGTTTGCTGGTACAAATTGGAAGATGTCAATTGCGCATCAATGGGCAAGTTCTGGTGACGACTTTAGTAAACCACTGTTTGATCAACACCACTCATACGATGGATGGTTTGGATCATTTAGTCAACCATTTGGGACCATCCCAGGGCATGGTCGCACCTACCATTATCAGTAGTTGATCACATTTATCAGTACGGAAGAAACCATTCACATGAAAACACTGTGTGAGATGTCACTAACTGTGAACGCTGCAAGACTTGCTGGCTCCAGCGGCAATGGTTGTCCACAACCAAATGGATCGATTTCAGAAACACGCGAGGACGAAGTTTGTGTTTGCGTTGGGTTGATGACGGGGAGAAAGGCACAACAGGCATGCATGTAAGCTGGCAGCGTTGCTGCCCATATGCATTTAATAAACAAGGAGTTTTGATGATGTGCAGAAAATGCACAATATTATATATATTGTTCTCCAAGATAAAAATCTTGCTCTTAGCTTGTCAAAATAATTGTGAGATTTGTTCCCAACTGAAGGAGTACGAGACGTTGAAGATGGAGAGGAACATAATTGGAGGGGCATCCATGTGAGAGAGCACTCGTGTTCACTTATAGTGGTAACAGACTATTCACACGCCATGGAGAATAATGCAGTCAACGTAGAGGTACATGTACCTAGACCAGAATCTTGGGCTGAATCGCAGGCTACCTTGTATGTGTGTACATGTAAAGCTTCTAGAAAAACACAGCAACCCACGTGCATGCTTGTTTGCCAAGTCTACCATTTTCAAAGTGTCAAAAAAAAGAGATGAACACATATCGGATTCTTCTCGAGAAAGTGAGTGGATTCAATTCCTTTTATTTACTCGTCGATGAATGAGGACGATGGCACAAAACTTGTCAGTGTAGCAGGACTGCTGTTGTGGTCCCTAAAACAAACCTGGCGGTGGTCCAGCCACACAGCACCATATACTGACAGCTTCAACACAACACAAGCAGTCAGTGAGGCTTATGTGTCGCTTTTCTAAATTTGAAGTGCTTTTGCAGACACTGGATATTTGTCTAAGCTGTCCTCTAAAAATCTGTGGCATATCATTTATCTGTGACAACCGGGAAGGTTTAAAATCTATTCTTAATGCATTGTCCAGGAACAATGTGTTATTGCACGGAAACCTCGGGACCAAGTTTTGGTGTGCGAGACTCCTATCCAAACTGCAAAAGTCCAGGGTTTGTTTCATTTTGTGACAAAAACACAACAAATCATGCTCTTAAACTTGATGTATGGAACAATCAACGTACTGGACAAGAACCGCACAAGAGCATTGCATTTTAAGCATTCTTCTACTACCAGACTTGCGTACGAAGATACACCATGTTTACAGTTGTATCTCACTGTGACTTTTGGGGTCACCAGCATATCATTAATACAAAATCGGCAAAAAAAAGGGAATTGCAGAAGCCCATTTTTTTGACATTTTCTCGATCATAAATGGGAAAACTGTTCCATTTTTTCATGTTTTTTGAAAGATAGTCTTGTCACCTCGTGTTTAAAGGTTATAATTAGGGAGAGGTCTTCTTTTCCCAACCCTTTTAATAACTACATGTACCATGTGCTGCAGTGGTGGACCGTTACCGTGGGTGAAAGTCTTTTGATTTCTCAGTGTGAACTGCTATTTAAATACATGTTAACACAATGAAAGTAAAAAAGCTACAAGCATCCGCCCTCGTAATTGGTTCGCTACCAGACGCCATATTGTATGATGTACATGTTGTCACATGTTAATCAAGAGCTTATGACTTGCCCACTAAAATGAAGCATTCATATTTTTGGGAGGAAAGGCTGTTTTGCTTAAGAGAAGTTATTAACCACTTCATGCCGGGGCATTTTTCAATGTTGATGATGCTGGGCCAGCATGACTATCATTTTTTCCGTTTTCAAAATCCTTCAAAAATTCATCATTTCATTTAACGGTCGCTTATAGCCGCACAAAGTAATCTTTAGGCACTACTCTAAGTTGATAGGTGACCTTCATTGACACCCGAGTATTTCAGCCAGGCCTGCAGCCTTGTAAAAAGAGCCCAGATTGTGCGGTGTTACATAACTGTCTTTTGATCACGAACCTGGCTCAGTGCACTGCTGACCTCTTTTTAATAGGGGCCAGATTAGCTTGCAGCGGTGCTGTGTGGCTCATCACTGCGGTGGTGGAGCGCTTTTGTCCCCGGTGGTAATCCGCTCGCTCTCAATGCCCCAAACCCTGGTATAGGGTTTCAAAACAAGGCTGGATTATCAACACTTCCGAGAGTGAAAAATGCCGGTAATGCCCAGCAGCCTGGTCTTTTGTTCGGAGTACGGTCTTTTGTTACAGGGCCCTGTTTCCTTTGTCCGAGTTCGGAGACCCCGGCCACCCATATAAACCATACGTCTCTGATCCCAGAGTCCCCGGCAGTAAGTGGTTAATATTCATATCCAGCAAACTCTGATATCCTGAGGCACCCCCCAAATCATCCAAACTGGACGAAAAATAGAGACATTACATCCTGAAGCTAGAGAACCAACAAGTCCACTTTCTACTCAACAGGCCATACATGACACATACATGCACATATACGAGTATACATGTATGTACGTGAATGCATTGTGTATGTACACTGCACTGTACATGTACAAGTGGGGAAATGCCACAGAACTTGTACCAGGTAGGTAAGGGGGTTGGTGCGCTGTGACAGTGCATGGTGGCCCATTTGCTGTGGGTCCTGTGCAAGAGGCCAGATAATCTCCCCTTGACAACAAAGCGCTGAGACTGTCTTGGACAAGGCTAGCTCAATGCATGAGAGTTGGTGTACAGCCATGCTGACAGAGCCCACCTCACGCCTATTAATGTCGTCAAATGACCTACAACACTCTTCAGTTTGAGCATGCGCTACAGGAAATACCGAACAGGCTCATTTCAAAATTCTGGTGCCGCCCACCGCACAACCCACCTTAGGTGTCCACGCCGTGCCGGTGCTTTCATCACTGGTCCAGATTATGACTCGCCCGTCCTGCGAACAGCTGGCTATCGTACTATGAGGTAGACCAATAGAGGGTGCCCAAGCTACGTCTCGTACCCAGTCACTGTGTGCCTCCAGCTTGTGTTCTTCTCGCCATTCGCCATTCTCCTCCCTGCCCAGATATATATATATGCCCAGAGTGAGTTGTGGTAAAGACACCTCAAGCAATTCACAAGGAATTGGACCATGCAGCACAAAACCCACTTTCAAAAAGACGATCCAGTGTAGCAGTAAATATTTGTTTGAAAAGAACAGAAAAATCCATGCACAAAGTAATAGCAAGTCTAGGATACAGCAGTACATTAAATACCGACTCTCATGCTACTTTTGCTAGGAACCTTTCCCAATGCAGGAAACCAATGGCACCTTGAATGTAGTTGAACCTTCACAAGGTATTTGAGTCCTTGTAAATACTCTGTGTAAATCACCTCTGCATCAAATTTAACCCCTTCGCGCTGGGAGGCGGCTAGACACGCCGTAAAAATTGAGATCCTTAGCCCGCTTTTCAGTTATTATTCTTGGCCCACGCTCGAGTGAACACGGTGAAAGAAGGCAGACCCTGGCTCTTGTATATATGGAAATTGGTCTTTGTGCGTAGCCCAGAAATGAAAAGACCGCATTTGCATCATAATCACCAGCTTCACAATAGTCCCCACTTTGAAAAGAGGCAACGGGAATGTGGTAGCGTTAGTAGAGCCCCATGCCACCAAACAATCAGTCTTTTCACTGTGTAATTCAAAGCGTGCAGAGCACACAGGGCCACAAACCGAGAATTTGTGGTTTGGCAGGTGGCCTTCGTGGCCGAGTCGGCTTTTGGGAAGAAATTCCCGTCGTCAAGGGGTTAACCTTATTTTTCATTTCACTTTTCCATTTTGTTGACATTTTGGTTCCTTCTTGAATTTGCAAGGCTAGTAGCAGAAGTAGGATGTTATTTCCTGAAGAAATCTTAATGTGACAGCTATTTCTGTATTAACATCTTCCACAAGTTAGGTACAACCATTCCCAATTAGCAAATTTTGAGCAGAACCAACCCAACAAACAATGGCTTTCTAAAATGATATTACAGCAACAGCACCTTTATTTGTCAGGAGAAGTATGGACAATTTTTAACCATTTGAAAAATGTCTGTTGTCAATAACAGTTAACCAAAAGAGGATGTCAAATATTTTTTGCACATCTAAGAAGAGCAGAAAGTTGCACAAAGTATTTCCCAAGGAAACTTTATGTCATGGCTTCTTAGTTCCACTAACAGTAATGCTGGCCGAGCTAAACCCTTCTAAATCATTCAAAATCCTCCCAAACTGGGTGGACATTGAAGGGTCCAGGTTACTCAGATTCAGAGTACCTTTGTGTCAACTTTCTTTTGACATATAACTTTACATTCTTACTTCCATATTTTGACCAGGTTATCACAGCCTCCTGTCACAAATCTCTTGACAGGAACCAGCTTCTGTGTGGAGGGAGGCTCTATCAGGGAACCAGGCTCAACAGCTGGTGCCCAACTCACTGCATTGCAGCCAATCTATAGGCAAAAGAGACTGCATGTGTTCAAGTCTGGACAATTTTTTATGAACAACTCATGGTTTGATAAGAACAAGTGGGGTAATCTTAGATTCCTACTGCAGAGTGTTCAGGAGAAAAATTCAAGAGAAGGAAAATAGCTTGACATGTTGACATGTTACGGGGCAAAACTGTCACAATGAACGTTCACCTTCTAAAACTTTTGCCGGGCACTGATTTGCTATCAAAAATGACTCCAGACATGGACTACTGTTCTGACAAGGCAAAGTTGTTTTCCATTTTCAGTGATATCCAACAAGGCAATTCAACACTGGAAAACAATTACATGTCCTACATGTAAGTGCATGAGCATATTTAGGACACCAAACCTCACATAATAATAGTGGCTGGATTGCAGTCCTATATTTGATTTTTTTTTCAACAAAGCATGAACATTTATTAAGCCTAAGTTCAAAAATCCAGAAATTCTTAAATGTCCTAAATCCAAAACTGTAAATGATGGTAAGTTCTGAAAACAAAACAAAAGCAAAACAAAACAAAAACCCTGCATGACCTGTGAGTTATCAAGTCAAGGTGTGTCTACCTCCCACTTCAAGTAGTTGTAAAACCCTAACATTCCCCATCCTGTCAATTTACAACAACAGTTTGTTGCAATTTGATGGGTTGACTTACTACACAAAATGTTGGATTATGACGGGATGAGTACTGTACAGATGCAGCAACAGTGTTGGGTTTGGACTGAGTGGGTATGGTTGGTATTGCCCAGTACCTGCTGGGTGTTTGATGAATGGTGCTGCTGGTATGTGTGTGCCTGTAAATAATGGGGTTCATTTGGTCATGTACCTGTACTTCAGGAGTAGAATAACTTACTCTACATGTAGAGTGTTTGGTGACCTTGCTTTTTTAAGAGAAGTCAAAGATAAAACAAAGAAATCTGAGCCCCCCTCCAAAAAACAAATACAATTTTGTATAGCCCTGCAGTTATTGGATCTTGAAGGGATGAGTACACTGTGTCCCTATTCCTTTTACACAGTATATGACCAAGTATCCCCACTCAGCCAAAACCCACCAGTTTACAGCCTGTTTGAGTTTGTTGGGCTGAGTACCGATACAGTAAGTGAACTGTTGGAATCCTGCGGGTTGAGTACCCACACCTCACCCAGCAGCGAAAGGGTGTTGGAATTTGACGGGTTGAGTCAGCCTTCTAGAAAAAATGCTGAGGGGGTTAGGGTTAATGTGATACAATATTAACCATGCCCCGAAAGTCATTTCTCCACTTACTGCATGTGCGTCTTTAATCTTCTGTGACTCCCATTTACCATCGGTGTACGAGAGTATAGAGACAGAGCCATCCGATGAAGCACAAGCCAGTACCAGACCAAATTCCTGGGGTGCCCACTGGACAGAATTTACTGCATCAATTCAACAAGGGAACCAAACAAAAACACTCAATTATCTGTCTGCACCAACCATGAATCGGGTTCATTCATACAAGTTCAGATCTTACATCTAAGATATCCCAGGTCATGTCACAAACCTTCCAATTCCACATCCAGGATATCCCAGGCTGTTACAAACCTTCTAATCCC